TAAAACAAAAAAAAAAAAAAAACTTATAAAGCTACCAATTTTATATTCTACATCTTAGCAAAACCTAAACAAACCAAAGAGAAGAAAAATTGTTAGCAAATAAGACAGAGAAAAACACAACCAAAAGAAAAGAGAAAAAACTTAACTAAGTTGCTGATTTTATATTCTATGTTTAACAAAATCTAAGCAACCCAACAAAAGAAAAAAATAATTGTAAATAAGACAAAGAAAAAAAAATAAGACCAAAAGAAAAAGAGAAAAAAGAAACTTACTGAAGCTGCTGACTTCATATTCCACATCTTGGTAAAACTTAAAACAAGCCAAAAAAAAAAAATAGTTAACGAATAAAAGAAAAGGAAACCAAAAACAAAACCAACAGAAAAAAGAAAAAAACTTACTGAAGGTACTGATTTCACATTTTACATCCCAGCAAAATCTAAGAAATCTAAAAAAGTCAAAAAAAAGTTAGCAAATAAAATAAAAAAAAACTAAACTAAAAAGAAAAACTAACTAAACTGCTGATTTTATATTCCACATCCCAGTGAATCCTAAGAAACCTAAACAAGCCAAAGAAAAGAAAAAATAGCAAATAAAACAAAAAGATAGAAAAAAAAACTTACCAAAGCTGCTGATATATTAGGTTCACTTTATAATATTGAAATAATAGTTCTACAGTATTGACAGTTTGCAAGAATGCATAAAAATATTTTGATAAGTTATTTATTCTGTTTCACATTTCACATTTTGATAAAATCTAAAAAAAACTAAACAAGTCAAAGAATAAGACAAAAAAAGAAAAACAATTCAAAAAAAAAAGAAAACTTAGAGCAATAATAGTTATTACATAATATTTTAGGCATGGGAGGTTAAGACAAATCTTACCTCTTAGTTTAATCTGATTGGCTAAATTTCATATATATATTACCTGAGAAGGGGGTAAGCCTCTATAGTAAATAGATATTATGTAATAAATGTCATGATACTTACTAAAGCTGCCAATTTTATGTTCACACCCTAGTGAGATCTAAGAAATCTAACAAGCCAAAAAAAATGAAAAAATAGTGAACAAGACAAATAAAAAAAAACATCAAAAAGCAGAAAAAAGTAAAAAGAGAAATTAAGAAAAAAAATGAACAATGAGCATTAAACAAAAGCAAAAAAGCAACAAGCAAAAAGTAAAAATAGAAGCAAAAGCAAAAAAGTAAGCAACAAGAGAAAGGTAAAGAATGCAAGCAAAATGTGAAAGAAAAGAAGCAAAAGTAAAGGCAAAGAAGCAGGCAAGCAAAAGCAAAGCAAGCAAAAGCAAAGCAAACAAAAAATAAAAAGCAGAGAAAGCAAACATCTAAAAATGCACTAGTGACTTAATAGAAAAGCAAGCAACAAAAAACACAAGACCAGATGTAAGCCAGACAATGATACAAATCACACACAAACTGCGATACCAACTGATAGCACCAACAACAAAAGGCAATAAGCTAAATAAATAAACAAAAATTAGTAAGCAATGTGAAGACAAAAAAAATTAATAATCTATTTAGATCTGGTAATAGTATAGCAATGCAGGATAAGATCATTTAACCTTGTATTAGTAATCGGAATCTACACATGAGCTTTAGTCATGTGATTTTGTTATTTTTGATTGGCTAAATAGACCAGAGATATATAAGCTATATATCTCTAACCAGAGATGCCTAGAAATTCTCATATTATAAATAACCTATTTAAAGAATTATTTATCTAATTGTTTTAACAAACCAGCTAATTCAATCTATAATCTAAGATAAATACTATATATTGTAATGATTTTTAAAAAATATGAGAATATAATTTATCAAAAATATCTAAAATTAGTGAATTAACTCAATAAAAAAATCATTGCTCTATAATTAACCAAAAAAATATTGCTTAATCAATCAAAAATCAATTATATAAACTTGATTGAGTATAATCAATCAAGCATATAATTTATAAGCTTGAGTATATATAATCAATCAATTATCAGATCAATAATTAATCAATTATAACTTATATACTAAAAAAGCAATTTAAAAATAATAATATATTCTATAAAATTTTTTTGATTGATTAAATTCAACTATCTAATTGATCAAACATTATTGATCAATAATTAATCTACTTTTGATCAAGTCTGCAAAATCATGTTTGACTATTGACTCAACTTGATTAATAATTGATCATAATATAGTCAAGTCAATTCATTATCTAAAACAACAAATAAACTTGTAAATAATAACAAAATTATCATTTTTAGCAAAAATAGATTTTGCAAGAAAAATTTAAATCAACCATTGTGTTTAGCAAATTTTAGAATCCAAAACAGAATAACTAAACTTAACTAAAATTGTATTATTTAATTCTATAAGCTTATAGAATAAAAAATAAGCACAGTTTTATTAAATATAGCTTGATTCTATTTGTAATATTATCAGAGCTAGCTTAGATACTAACAAATTATTTCATAGATTTAAGGATACAACTGTTAGTGTAAACTATTGTAGTATGTTACAGCATCAAACATCAAAAAATATCTAATTTTACTTTTAAAGCACCAAATTAAAGAATTATAAAATTAATTCTAATTTGTTAATTTGTATAACCAATTCTAATTAGTTAAAAATATAACCCTGTAATAATTTATATAACCTATTTAAATAATGTAATGCATAATTATTTAATAAAGACTGAGACCATGCCTCACTCTATAAAAAAAAAATTAGTCAAAAATATAAAGAACAATTTTTTTATTAGGCACTAAATTTCTAATTATATATAAACTTTAGGCTAAATTAAATTTTCAATCTTAGCAGAATTGTAGCTTAGACTAAAAGTAACAAATTTGTAAACCAGATTTTTTATAAGGTTATTGGCATCTGAATTATAATCACTTTTATATTTTATATATAAGAGTGGAATTTTTTTGTTGTCCAGTACTGTAGAAAGAAAAAATTATTCTTATGGAAAAATCTAAGCGATATAGTACTGAGTGTGATTTGATAAAAAATACTTTCACTGTAAAAATTAATTTACAGTTTAATTTCACAAAAGATTTGGTCTTAAAAAATTTTTCACTTAATAAACATTTGATACTAAGTAAAGCAAAATATATTATTACTAAATGTGCAGCACCTAACTATAGATTGTGTAGAAACTATCGATGTACAGCACCTCTGAGATTATTTTGGTATTGATATTTGATATGAAAATGTCGAAATTATTAGGAAATCCACAATAATTTCTACGTCAAGGATTTGACTGTTTCGGAGAGCTCTAAATCGAAATTTCTTCAAAGAATAATACACTTCATTAAAGAAACCAAATCCAATCACATTTCGTCTATCGATGCTCGATATAGAATTAATAGATTTCACCAGTGGAATGTATGAAGCATATATATATAGTAGGATGTGAGTAAATGATCCGTTTAAACGTAGTTTTCAGCTCAAAAATTTCCATGAATGAAAGCATTAAATTTAAATCATATCTGAAATCTGCTGAAGGTGGAAATTCGAATGGACAAAATATCCTTGGATTCTGCTATCAAAATGGCATAGGCATAGCCAAGGATGAAAAAAAGGCATTTGAGTGGTATTTGAAATCTGCTGAAGGTGGCAATTCGAATGGACAATTTAATGTAGGATTCTTCTATCAAAATGGCATAGGCATAGCCAAGGATGAAAAAAAGTCATTTGAGTGGTATTTGAAATCTGTTGAAGGTGGCAATTCGAATGGACAATTTAATGTTGGATTCTGTTACCGAAATGGCATAAGCACAGCCAAGGATGAAAAAAAAGCATTTGAGTGGTATTTGAAATCTGCTGAAAGTGGCAATTAGAATGGACAAAATAATCTTGGATCCTGCTATCTAAATGGCATAGGCACAGCCAAGGATGAAAAAAAGGCATTTGAGTGGTATTTGAAATCTGCTGAAGGTGGCAATCCGAATGGACAATCAAATCATGGATTCTGCTATCTAAATGGCATAGGCACAGCCAAGGATGAAAAAAAAGGCATTTGAGTGGTATTTTAAAGCTGCTGAAGGTGGCAATCCCACTGCACAGTATAAGGCCACGCAAAGTTAATTTTGCGTTTTGCATAACATGGTATTTCAAAATTCCGGTCGGCGGGTCGGATTTTTTTTTTTTTTTTTTTTTGCATCGAATTTGAGTTTTCGTGTATACGGAGTCTTTAGCTTCTAGGCCTTCTTGGAAAGACATTTTTACTTGTTTAGATATTATTATTAGAACCAGTTAATGTTATTAATGCATACTTATGCTAGAGATGCCGATCAGAGCCCAAATTAACTGTAATGCGGGCCGTGATCGACAAACGGTTCACTTATTTTGCAGCTACAAAATCGCTAAGTACTGAAGTATCGAAAAGACTTGATGCACATGACATGTTCTATGAATATGTTTTTAGATGCACACACTATCCAAATAAGGCAGGGTATTAAGCTTTATTGAAATATGCAGCTAATTATAATAATTAAAAGTGATACGGAGTACGTATTAGGTGGTGGTTTTCTACCTGCATAAAGCAGGCTAGCTATTAAACAATTAGCGATGTTTATTATCAGCTAGTAGCTTTCCACCTGTATAAATAATTTTGCATCTATCGTTATTGTGAAAATAGCAGGAATTTGAAAAAAGAGAAAATTGGGCGTGAATCTGGATTGTTATTTTACAATAAAGGATACCTGTTCTATAGTTCCATAGTACTATCGCTATGTTTTTATTAGTATTATATTTGCAATTGTGTCATAATTTCTTAATTAAGCAGTACATAAATTATACTTATCTTCTTTTTATATCATCATTGTTGTCAATTTACGTAGTTCGCGTCACTATTAATATTTCTAGCATATGCACTTTCATATGAAAGTGTCAGTATATTACCACTTAAAATATGTTTCCTATCAATTAATACTTCGTCAATTTAAATATACAAAAGCATTGAGTTTATTAATTTTTAAAATCAAAATGCCTGTTGTATCTGTGCGAATTAAAGCAGAAAATAATGTAAAAGTAAACTGGATTGGTGTTCCCGTACCTGAAGATATTACAGTAAGGCAGTTTTATGAAGACCTTATTGCGGGAAAAATTGTTCATGAAGTGCAGTTGAATAATGAAGACCGTTTACAACCAGTTAAAGTAGAGTTTTCATCTAACACTACTGGACCTTTTAATGTTGTTAGTATGGAATGTAACATGGTTGAGGCAATTGAAGCTTGGGGAAACAGAGTGCAATATTATCAAACAAATAGCCAAGTATCATTATATTCTGAAGCGTCAATTAATATTTTTTCACAAATGATGAATGATACTACTAGCTTAACTCATTTACCAACTTTTGCTATTTCTGATCGCTCAAACGCATTGGAAAAGTTACGGTATGATATTGTTGAATGGATTCGTGAAAATAATGGTGGATGGAGTAGAGATACTGCAATAACAACTGGAAAAGAATTTGTTAAAGATTTGGCTGCTGCATTATGGTATATAGATAAATGTGATTCAGAGAAGTTAAAAAGCCGAAGTTGTAATGTTCCTGCTGAAATGGAACAGTTTATTGGACGCTTTGATATTGTTCGTTTAAAAAAAAAAAGAGAGCGATTTGATACAACTACACTTGCATATCATTCGAATATTCTTTTTAAATATACAAGATCTGCATGGATTAGAAAATCTGTATTTTGCTGGCTTATTAATCCTTTAGAAATATTAGCCACAAATTTATCCCGATATCAAGAAATTTTGCAAAAACAGTTAATAGTTACAACACAAAACCATCATTCCTTCGAACCAGTTAAAAAAAATAATAGCTTTCTTACTATCTTACAGCCAAACTTAACTAGACAACCTCATATTATTGATCGGTATCAAACTTTAGTTACTTTTTTTGAGCAAAATAATTTTTGGGAACCTATAAATATTAAATCATTTCTTCCAAATGAACCTATGTAAGTAATTTAACAAAAATTTTAATATTATAAATTATTTTGTTCTAATTAAATTTGTTAATAGGCCAAAGCATCGATATATCAAAGAATTAGATAAAGGATTACCTTTTAAATTAGCTCAATATATACATGATAGTCAACATGGATCTTCAGTAATATATTTATGGCGTATACCTTCAACTATTTCTGATTCAGTAATAATGTCACGTAATTTTGAAATAGCAAAACTATTAGAAAAAGATATACATATTTACCATACACGAGCTATGCGCAAACTTTGGAAATCTAAATGTGAAACTTTATTAGATTCAGTTAAACCAATGGCATTACGTTTGTTATATCGTGACTTAACTGGTGATTTTGCAGTTGCTGAAAATCAAAATGAAAAAGAAGTTGATAATAGAATTAAATTAGCTTTACAAGTTGGTGATCCAAAAATTATTACTGATTTACGAGAACATAATTCTGGTGCAACAACACGTTATGAAACATTTTGGAAAGTTGCACAAGAGTTTCTTACTAGTACTGCTGATTCATTACTTGCTGTTGATGATCGTAGACATTGTTCAATAATTCATTTGGCAAGAGCAATTTCTGTAAATGATTTTATACAACAAGTTGCTCTTCGTTGTTCATCTGAAACATTAATACCAAGTACTCAATGGGTTCGTTTACAATTTTGGCCAAAATCACCTTATAATTTAAATGCATTACAATATA